CACACCTTCCCTAACCCAATCCTCTCCCCCCCCCCCCACGTCTTTGTGTTGACTCTAAATCCTGTCCTACTTGTCTCTGATCTCTCCTTCCTAGATTGGCCAAGATTAGTTTTCTCAGCTGGGGAAACCACCATCCCTAGCTTTCCCAGGTGACCGGAAGAGCTGAACTTCAAAACCTTATCAGCAGAAGCAAGATGGAAGGAGTCATGTCTAAGGAAGGGAGAAATCTAGGACAAAGGGGAGCCAGCTCAGGGGGAAAAGTGAGGAGGACACGACAGGGAGCAGAAGGAGCCTCAGGCATGGTTCCATTTCTTGTCAGCAGGAAGTAGTTGGGTGGCTGGAGGGGAAGCATACCTAGGCAAGGTCAGACCTTGTCCAAGGGTGGTGTCAGAACACAGCTGGTTCACGAAGGATGAATGTGAGCAACTGAACGACCTGGCTGGGGCAGAAGACAGGGGTGAAAACAAAGGAATATGAGAGTCTTTTTGGTTGGAACGTGCTCAGGTGCCAGGTAGAATACTGACCTGAGAATATTTCTGAATATCACCCTCAACTCCCATTTCTTATAATCTAGGTGCTGTGCCTGAATTTGTATCTCGGACAGGCTCATCCCACCTTCTACGGAGCCCACCAGGGCCACTCTGTTCTTCCCTCCCTCCCACCTGGCTTCCTTTGCCCTTATGCCCCTTCCAATAACTCCTTGCTCCGCTCTGGAATCAGAGCCCTGGGAAAGTCTACAGCAGGAGCCAGCAGCTCTGAGGACAGTAGCCCTCTTCTCCTGGTGATAAGCACCACATTCTAAGGACCGTGGCAAAGACGGGACAGCCCAAAGGCAATCAGGGTGGCACAGAGGAGAGTGGCCAGGATTGGAAGCATGGGGGAGGGTAGTACTTGGAGAATGTGGACGGTTCACCCTACTTTGTTGGTCTTTGTTGGTCCAAGAACACGGTGTCCCTGAGAAGGATCAAAACTCAAGTGACTGGCAGCATAAGGAGACAAGGGGTGGGGTTAAAGAACAGCTCACCTGGAGCTCTCAGAGTCTGCTGAGCTCCACCACAGGGTAGCATCACACGGAATGGGCTTTGGAGACAGGTGAATCGGCCTTAAGAGACCAGGATAGTCAAAGCCAGATGGAATGGTTGCCTTTGGCTTTTCCGTAAATTCTGGTCTTATTCCAGGAAGGTAAGATGTTGCAATACAATAGCTCTGGGGATTTCTGCCCAGGGGAACGTCTTGCTAGGCTTGGTATCCCATTCTCTCCCTGAACTTTACCTCTCACAGCCAAGCACCTAAAGCACTACCATTCCATGCTCTGAGGAGCCACACAGCCCATCTAGAAGATCTCTGGGCAGGGCCGGGGGTCCGGCCCCCCCCGCGGGGGGGGGGGGGGGGGGGGGGGGGGGGCGGGGGGGGGGGGGGGGGGGGGGGGGGGGGGGGGCCGGCCCCCCCCCCCCCCCTTTTCCCACCCCCCACAAACGAAACGGCCCCCCCCCCTCCCCCCAACAAAAAAAAGAAAGGAAAGAAGCAACCGGGGCACAAAGGGCCCGGCGGCCCCCCCCGCCGCCCCCAACCCCCCCCCCCCCCCCCCCCCCCCCAAAAAAAAAAAAAACAAAACCAACCCCCCCAATAAATACCAGGTGTTCTTCCCAGCACTTTCCTTGTTTTAACTCAGAGAATTCTGAAGCCCATTTTACAGAGGGGCAAAAAAGGAGGCAGAGAGATGCCAAATAATTAGTGTATGTTCTCACAGCTCTAAATGGCTGAGCTAAGAATTAAACCCTCATAAGTGTGGCTCCAGGGCCTTCAACCCTAATCAGCATCCTGTGAGCCCAAGACTGGCTACAGGCAACTCTGAGGTACATTTTCCAAGGTGCTGTCTCTAGATACTGAAATGGCATCTGGAGGATCAAGAAGATTCATGGAAATGCATGTGTGCTTCTCACTGAACTATCCAGCACGCTCAGAACTAAGTGTTAGACGTATCACAGGCTCCTTGCCTATTTCTCAAACCAAATTCTGGCAGGAGCCATGCACAAGTACTCCAAGGTCAAAGCTAACCCTCACAGGACTGTGGCAGCAGCCACCCTTCAGGGCCTCAAGCCATGAGCCATTTAAAGACCCTTTGCCAGGGCACACATTACCTAGTACTTTCCTAAGTGCCAATCCACCCTGGTATGGAAACCTGAAACAGCTCAGCCCTGCTCTGGAAATGCCAGCCAATAACAGTGGCCTGTGTACAGGATGTCCAGAGAAGCCATCTGTCCAACAACAGCCAGGGTGTCAGAAACAGCCACCTCACACAAGGCTTTGGAAGGATTCAGACACTGAGCACATCCCATACGGGAAGGATGGAGGTGGGACTGTTCAGGGGAATGGGAGGGCCTGGGAAATGGAATCTGTCCTGGCCCAGAGATTTGCTGGGCTTCAAATGCAGTGGGTAAATAGCAGGTTGGAGGCCACAGGCTCGGCATCCTGTGCACCGTCTAGAATGCTGTTGTTAGACACTTCCGTGTGGCTGTGTCTCTGTAGTCACTCAAGTCTCGACTAAGCTGTCACCCCTCTGAGATCTTCCCTGAGCCCCCAATCAATCACAATTGGACTTTTTATTATTCGAATCATCCCATCTTCAATCGTCCCATTAGAAAGTGTAGCACTTTCTAATAGTTTGCTCCAATTGCAGTGAAAACCCTGTTAGGGATGAGGTTTTGTTTCCTTCGCTGAGGTCTGGCAGTGGTGCCTAATAGGGTCTGGGGTAGATGAACAAATAGATTTGATGTGGGTAGATCAATGGGTAGATGGATAGCTAGACCCAGACAGACACAAGGCCTTAAGCATGAGAATGGGTATAGAGAACTAGCTAGCTCAGCCTTTCTCCTCTCCTGCCTGTCCTCTCTTCTCCTCTCCTTTCCTCTCCTCTCTTTGGGAAATATAGCCTTTTAATTTTTTAATTCTAAAATTTAAAAGTACATTTTTTCAATTACTAAAGTAACGTGTTCACAGCTAAAATTTAAATGTTATAGAAAGAAATGACTTAGCAACCAACCCCCCCACCCCCCATTCCACCTCTCAGAGAAAGTCACTATTATTAATGGTGCCTTCTGCAACTGCCCTGATTAAACTGTTGTAAAAGAAGCCAGCCCTGGCACCACAGAACGGAAGAGCATTCATAACAAAACTGAAATCACAGAGCCGGCATCTCTTCCCCTTTGCAATCTTCCCCAGGTGCACTTTATAAGTCGCTGTAAGGTACAGTCTGTTACCTACCTCTTTCACGTAGATCAGAACCATCTTTTCCAAGTTCTGCAGCCTGTGTGCTCATCCTTACAATAGCTATATAATACCCCGCCAAGTGGAAAACTATAATTTACTTGACTAAGATATTCAACAAAGGTAATAATTGTTTTCCATTTCCCCTATTACAGAGAACACCACAGAAATACCTTTTACGCCTGTAACAAAAGAAATGTAGTCATAATCTTCTTGAGACTATTTCATAATAAAAGACCCACCTATCCCTTCCTTCCCTTCCTTTCTCTTCCTTCCTATCTTCCTTCCTTCCAAATTTTCATTTTAAACAGAGTCTCATTCAAAGCTGGATTCAAACTCCTGATCCTCTTGCACCTCAGTTAAAGACATGCACCCCCCACATTCAGATAGCTTTCTTGTTCTCTTTCTTTTCTTCCTTCCTTCCTTCTCTCTCCTTCCCCCAGTTCACACAGGGCCTTGCTATATAACCGAGACTAGGCTAGCCTCTATCCAGATATCTGCCTGTCTCTGCCCTCCAAGTGGGGGTTTACAGGCGTGTATTCCCATGCCTGGCATGAAAGCCCCTCCATGAGTAATTCTGAAATGAAACCCCTGGATCAAAGATGTGACAGTCTTCAGACTAGGGGTGCAGATTGCTATGGGAACCTGTGCTGTGTGATGAGTGCATCTCTCGTCTGGGTCACTACATCCCCACAGTGACTTCCATGAATATTTTCCTCCCCCCAGTCCCCCTCAAGTGCAGGTTAACTCCTCCTATTCTGGCTGCCAATCAACTCAAGAACACCTCCTTCAATGACCTGTTAGTAGCACACTGACTTTGCAAGCATAAACAGACTGGTAAATAGGTTCTGGCTCTCAGCTAGGAGAATGGAGATCTATCTACAGCTGAGAAATGACCCAGTTGCCATGTCCCCACTCCCTGCATACGCCAGTATGGAATCAACTCTGGCTCCAAGAGACCAGCCCATGCCCTCTTTAGAGGCTGTCCCATCAAGATGACCTCAGTGCCAAGATAGCCATAGTGTCAACTGCCTGCCCTGCCTTATTGGAACCTTCTTCTTTCTGGTCCCTGATCCCTCTGCATTGACATAATGGCCTTCAGGACTCTGAGACTTGGGTAAGCATTCGATTATCATTCTTTAAATTATCATCAAGGAAAGGCCAGTGTCAAATACTGGGATGGGGGCCAGATGGAGACAGGCACACTCTTCAGTCAAGGCCTTTCACCCTCTGTGGCGCTTGCCTGGACTAAGGAGCCTCTGCTGAAAGTGGGAGGGACTTGTTCTGCTGACTTCCTGTCTCTTTTATGGTATCTAAGAGCCTGGATGCTCTACCCAACTCTTTCAGGGCCAGGGCATTAACTGCTCATGGTGTGGGAGCAGAATTCAGATTCTAGGTAAGGCATAGCCCCCATCGTCTGAATGGAAAGCATCCAGGAGTCTCTTGAGGAAAAAAGGACATGGGAAGCTACCCTCTCCCCAGTGTCTGGTTTTATCCCTATCAGCCAGGCTGGGTCTGGCTCAGTTTAGAGGCTATAAGACAGCTCCAACAGTGACATGGCCTGAAACTGCTCAGCACTTCCCTCCTATTCCAGAACTGTAGCCATGTGACAAGCCCTTGGACAGGAAGCAGGCTGAGAACTTGAACCTCATGGCCTGTATCCATGCTGATGAGGTGCCAAATGGGAAGGCAGACAGGGTCAGTGACCCCCTACATGTCTGGAGCATACTCACTTAACACAGCCTTGACTATGTGGCTGGGAACAGACATCAGGATCGTTGTGCTGCTGAGTCCCAGCTTAACCTTGTCTTGGTATCAGGCTGGACCTTGGTGCCATTTTCAGCGTTATAAACAAGCATTCACCCCGGGGCTCAGCTAATTCTTGGCTGGTTGGCTGGCAGCTTCCAGGTGTCTCTGGGAATAAAAGAGGAGGCCATCATTAGCTTAATCTACCCCTATCCTTAACCACCAGGTTAACTAAAAGGTAGATCTAAGACCAAGTACTCAGCAACAGGCCACCAAGGTCCCTTTTCTAGGACATTTCTGCCATCCCTTCTGCTCAGGGCAGGTCAATCCAGACATCAGAGGCTGGGATGGTTCTCTGGCGATCATCTTGAGGGGTTAAGACTTAGGGGCGTACATGAATGAATGGGCACTTTGAAACCTAAAAGGAGATAGCATTTTAGAATCCAGCTCTAGTCTGAGCTTGAAAGCACACCTCCACAAGCGGTTGGAGACATCTCTTTGCAAGGGTAGTCAGAGCTGCAGGGAAGGAAGGCAACACAGGATACTTGGTTTAGCATTTAGAGAATTAAGTATACCATACAAGTAAACAGAGGAAGTAGAAAGTGTGCTAAGTACCACCCACAACCTGAATTGAGCCCAATTGTATACCCCTTTAATCCCAGCACTCAGAATTCCCCAAGTTCGATGTCAGGCAGGGCTATGTAGTGAGACCATGTCCAAGAAACAAACACAGCAACGGAAAGCCCCAAACCTTAACTGTAATCCACTATTGTAATACTCATCTCACCGTATCAATACCCTGATTATTGGTGAGGTTCTTTATGGTAAGAACTGGCTATAAACTGATAAGAATCTTACTTCATACAGCCCTTTGCCACATACATTCTATTCTCTCGACGATATTCTCAATTCTTTTTTTTTTTTTCTTTTTATAAGACTGGAGATTGGACCCAAGACTTGGCATATGCTAGGCAAGGGCTTGACTACTGAGTTATATCCCCAGATCTTTAAAAATTGTCTATCTCAAGTAAGATACACCCAATCCTCCTGCCTCCCAGTAGATAGAATTACAGGCTAGGCTAGCGAGACTAGCGAAACTTGACTGTTTACTTCATGAAGACTCCAGAATTATTTTGTCCAAATTGAAGGTACCAGAGCTGCCTCCGCACTCCCCTTGATACAGTGCCATCTATGCATGTCCCCAGACTGGACTTTGCCCAGCACATGTGGCCATTTCAAAGCTGACAATAATGTGGGCGCTGGCTGAGAGGTGGCACCCTCACCCTCACAGATGGGAAGAACTTGGAGGTGCCCACTTGTGCTGCTACCCAGAGGCTTCTGAATGGAAGCAAATCCCTTCTCACCGTCACCTAAGCTACCAACTTGTCAGGCAACAGACTGCTGACAAATTTAAGGACAGGGACCTAAAATGTACCCTGCTAAGATTGCTTTGGGGACACACCTGTCCCCATGTCAGCTCTTTCCCTCATCCCCAAGGCCTCTGCACAGAGGAAAGTGAAGGTATACACTCTGTGTGTGTGTGTGTGTGTGTGTGTGTGTGCACGCGCGCGCACGTAGGCTGCTATGCTCAACCCTGCCTGTGTCTCCCCAATTCCTCCATAAACAGGAACCTCAGCCCTCTCTCAACTGTTCATCTCCCTCCCCTCTCCTAGCCTGCCTGACTGGGGAGGGGACAAAGGTCACCCTGGCACCTACCTATCACCTTGAGGAAAGAGTCCTAGTGAGGCATGTTCCATTTTCTCCACTGTTAGCTCCGCCATGGCATGTGGCCTGGTGAGTTCAATCCCACCCATGGGCACTTCCCCTTTCCTGGGGCCAAGGCAGGCCACAGCAATAGCACATGTCAAAACAGAAAGAGAAACCAAAAAACCACATCCTGCTCCTTCAGCCCGCTGCTGCTGCAGCAGTCCACAGCCAGCAGGAGATGACACCTCTGTAGGAATCCACCTCTGCCTGGGTACCTTCTGCTTCTTTGTCTGCTGGCTTTTTCGGAAAGATGGATAAGATGCTAGGGTCACAGGCATCCCACCTTTTTCTGCAAGTGTACAAACTGTCCCCAGATCCCTCTCAAACTCCAGTCTTCAGGAACAGGATCCTGGGGACAGAAGCTCAGGGGCTTTCATGGGTCTCATAGCCCAAGTGAGAAGCATGGGCACCGTGTGAATGTGTCAAGTGCTCCCCCGACAGCTAACATGCAGGTAGGGTTGGACTTTCTCAAGCTTAGCAACTCTCGGGATTTCCTTAGGACACCGTGGTGCAGGGAGGTGGTGGTGTGGACATCTACTAAGGCATAAGATGTTAAGAGATTTGGTCAAATCTACATCTCTGACTCAAGCCCCAGGCCTTGGGTACCTCACTCCTTTGAAGCCCTGCACACTGTGTCTTCAAGCTGCTCCCCACCTGAACCTCAAGTGCAAGACCCACATCTACTCAGGTCTTTCACACAGTGTGATCTACTCGGTGCATCCTATGGCCAGCTATGTTGCACACAAACAGCACTTTCTTTCCCTTTTCTCCATTAGCAGGCCTGATACGCTCCTGGGATATGGAAGGATCAGGGATGACTACTCAGTTTCAGGCCCTCTCTCCTCGCAGCCTGCCAGCTCCTACTCTTCCTACCACACTGCTCTGTGAGACCATCCACAGCCTCTGGTCACCCTATCATTATATTCCCAGGAGACTTTGAGCAAGTTTCCACAAAACTTGTCTTCCCACTAGAAAATAACCTCACTCGTGTTTATTTCCCCTACCACAGGAGGAATTCCTGGAGACCACAGATCTTCTGTGGGATGGCTGGGTAAGCAGAGAAGAGAAGGATCCGGCTAAATTCTTGAGTGATGGAGTCATCTAGCCTGGTATTAACCAAAGCTAGCAATGCCCAGAGTTCGTCTCTAATATCTAAGGCACCTTCATGAAAAGGAAACTCTCCCATTAAGCAGCATCAAGGGGGTCTGCAAGGCTGCCTTTGCAGATGAGCAGAACAAAGGGGATGTTCTCCTTTCTTCCACGTCCAGGCACCATCACAGACTGGGAGTGGATGGCCTGGGTCCGGACAACACAGATCTGTCTGAAAGCACAGTGGGAGAGGGGCTGGGAACAAAGTGTCCCAGGGAAGTCATCCTTGGGGATGCTACAGGCTCATACACAGGCAAAGGTCTAAGTAGGTCCAGGTTGGAGGATAACAAAGCCCATTGTTTCTACAGTATGCACGGGCAGTCCGTTCTCATGAGGAGGGTTCATTTCCCAAAGAGGCTTAACCAGCAGCTGCTGGCAGGAAAGTCTCCACATCGTTTTCTCTCCCCTGTAACTATTTAGGGTAAGCTGGGCTTGCAGGGTTCAGTCTGCTTCTCTGACTGGAATCTAAATCCTCTCACCTACTCCATCTCCATAGCCCGGGACCTAAGAAGAGAGCCAGAAAGAGGAAAAACAAAACAAAAACAAAAAATAAAAAAACAAAACAAAACAACAACAAAAACCCCCACCCATTTGCAGGCCTTTCCCAGCAGAAATTCCCAAATCTCCCAGGGAAAAAAAAAAAAAAAAAAAAAAAAAGGTAAAGACCAAATATTCAAACCGAGCTTGGCATGTGCCTGTAATCCCAGCACTCAGGAGGTAGAGGCTAGAGGGTCAGGGGTCCAAAGCAAACTCAGCTGCTTATCAAGTTCTACATAAGACCTTGTTTGAAAACAAAAACATCAAGCCCACTGATAAAAAAAAAAATAATTGATGGTTCACCAAAACAAGCAAACAAAAACACCCTTATAATCAATACAGAGTACTTCCGTAACCAGCTCTGGGGGAACCAGAGAGAGATTCCTCAGCAGATACCCACGGCTTATCCTAACAGTTTATTTTTACTCTGGCATTATACTCTGAGATAATGCCAGATCCCACAAAGTTGAGGGTTCCCTCCATATGGCTGCCTCACCTCAGATGCCAAGCACAGTTTCCACCAACACTTCTGACCACTGACTACAAACCATTACTTCTAGGCCCCCTGTTTCCACTGATTCCTTTGCTAGGATGTCTCAGAGAACTCACAGAGACACCTACCTTGACCTCGGCAACCGGATGAAGAAATAAGTGGAACAAGGTAAGGGTAAACGTGGTAGGTTTGCACTCCCAGGGCCCTCTTAGCATCTGGGAACACAGCAAATGTTGATAGTCTTGTCATGAGTTTTTATACTCTGAGAGGTTGATGCTAGGGCTAGAAGGTCCACCCCTCTAATCTCTTTATCATGAGGTGTTTTGGTGATTGGCTCCATCCTAGCTAGGGCTCCACCCTAAGCATTTCATTAGTGAAAACTCAAGTGTAACCAAAGGGGCTCATTCAACTGTGTGAGCTTATTCTATAGTGAGACCAGCCCTAAAGGCTTCGGATTTGGCAGGTTCCCAAGCCACAGAGTGACCACCCAACGCTACAGACACAATTGGAATCCAAGTACCCTAAGGGACAGGCGATTTATCATTATCCCCGGGGAAGTGAATAGGAGGCACAGGCATGGAGATGGCAGCTGACCCCACAGTGCACTTGGTTTTGGCCTTCCATGTGGCTCCTTGCTCCTCTGGATATCCCTGCCTGCTCCTCATCTCACCCCCATCTTCTCTTTAACTTACGGACACCTTGTCCTGTCACCCTACTGTCGTCTCTTTCTTCCTCATCTAGACCATTCTACCTTATTAAGTCCCTTCCAAGCCCTCTCTAAGAAAAACCCTGATTGCCTAACTAGTACATCTGGGAGTGTGGTCCTTGACACCCCCCCAACACACACACACACACACACACACACACACACAGACACAGAGAGAGAGAGAGAGAGAGAGAGAGAGAGAGAGAGAACCTCTTTCTTTTCCCTCCCACAATGCTCAATGGCACATGGTAGCTCCTGCCTGCTGCCTGAAAAGCTGGACAGCTGCTGAGCTTTCTAATTAGCCGCCTGGCTGCTGTCCCAGAGCTAGGCATGTGTTACAGTAAAACATCCCTCACCACCTCCTTTCATCCATAATCCCCCCCCCCCCAATACTGATCCCAACAGGTCACAGTTAGTGGCTCTAGAAGCCCAAGCACATGACACTAGCAAGACACCTCCTGTCAACCGTAAGAGAAAAAATAGTGACTTTACGCTATAGAGTGACCAGGAATTTGT